ATGACGCCTCGTAAGTTGTCTACGTCATGACGCCTCGTAAGTTGTCTACGTCATGACGCCTCGTAAGTTGTCTACGTCATGAAGCCTCGTAAGTTGTCTACGTCATGAAGCCTCGTAAGTTGTCTACGTCATGAAGCCTCGTAAGTTGTCTACGTCATGACGCCTCGTAAGTTGTCTACGTAATTGCTCATTGTAAATTTAGTGTCCTCGTAAGTTTCTACTTCATGGCTTTTGAACAGTTGTTCAAGTTGAAACTAATATTATGCATTATTCAACTAATCTGTATTCTTCATCGCTGTATTGTGTGGATTAGTTAACACCCAAATAGGACCGAATATGAATCTCAAGTGAAATAAGAGTAAAGCCACAATAGGCAGGAGCAGATTGTGTATGACGGTGTTATCCATGTTATCTATAGGAAACCGAACACAAGCACACGATCCAGCAAAGACTTCAAATATAACATGTGACGCTATGCCCTTTTACTTATAATATTATTGTGAAGAGGGTGTCAACTTAGAACTGGTATCAGGTATACATGGTAAAAAAGTAAGATACAGCGAATTGTGGTTGAATGATCTGCGTCCTCCTATGAGAGGCCAACCACTGACTTTAATGTTTGCTAATAAAACCACACGAGCTGCTTAGCCTTTTTGCTTCGAGATTTTTTGACGTCTGGCGCCCCAACTAAATAAAATTTTTTTGTTTATTTAATTTGAATTATGGGAAGCCGGCCCCCTGCCGTTGAACCTGCAACGATGTTGAATTTAAATTTATTAGAATCCAAGTAACCAGCAAAATAATTTAACAGGTATTTAAACAAATCTAATAGTCTTCATCCGTGTCGCTTGATGCTCGAGACGATTTTTTAAATCAATATCATTATAAAAAATTACAACAAAATGCATGGCCTCTAATTTCAGCTCCACAGCGCCTGTTGGAGAACAACGTATTGAACTATTTATGTTTACAGTTCCAGGAGATCTGGTCGGAGATACCATCCTTTTCTACAACGAGTCCTCGTCTGACGGGTGCATCCTCAGCAACAGCAACAACACAGGTCACGTCTTCAATGGTCAGTGAGCTGACTGCAGAATGATGAAATTATTTTAGATTTAATGTGTGTACGGATATGATTTAAATTAGATCAAGCAGGGGCCCTCCGGGGCTACTTATGTGGTACTGTTCAATAGCGCTTTCTCTATACCTGACGGTTCAGCCAGCTCTGCGAAGTAAACGACTGTCACTAGGAAAGTGTGACATACTCTTTGCCGTGACTCTGATTAAAAAACCGTGACTGATTAAAAAAACCGTGACTGATTTACCGTGACTCTGATTGTTCTGATTTGAAAATAGAAATGCACAAAAACCAGTTACCTGTAATTTCGCTCCCTCTCCCTCACCCTTCCTCTCCACCGTTTTTAGACCCTTCTCACCCTCAGAACCAACTTGTCCAACTCAAGAAAATTGTCGTCAGGATACCGACTGATTTACTCAAAATTTTCCCTACGACTTTTGATGAACTTGATGCTCCACTAATTTGATTCACAGACTCGGCCACCTGATTTTACGCCATAACTAATGACGCGCAATTGACAAGCTTGCATCGAAAAACCGCAAAAGCAAATTCAAAAAAACAAAAAGAACTTTAACCCAAAACCCCGAACCTAAAACCGCCCCAAAAATTTTTGTAGGACAGCTTTACAGAGACGTAGGAAGCCGCACCACCGACCAAATTAAACACGAAATAACTACACAATAAAACTGACTACACATACAGGACATAATAAAAAATAAGCGCTACACTCGAATCATGAAAATCGTAACCACAGGCACTACAATAGCTCCACACATACATACAAACGTACTTTGAATGTAAAACACTAAAATAACGCTCTCACGATGCGAACAAGAACAGTACACAACTTACTTATCAGTTTAAAATGTTACAAAATAGAAGACCACCTTCACACCAATCCACATCCCCACTCCCTCTTGCTCCGAATGCGCCGCCTAAGACCGTACTTATACCCAATGCACTAACACCACAAAAAATGCCACAACAATGGATGCAATGCCACGACGGACGGATGACAACACCACTCTGAAAGTATTCAACTACAAGGTACTTACGAGTAGCTACAATAATGACAGCACACTGCACTCCGGTGCTGCCATAGCCATTAAGAGACTCATATCTTGCAAACTTCAAGAAAATTTTCACATTGAAATGCTCGCAATTACAATTGGGAGCGCAGCCGTGCACCACCAATTTTGTGCACCAATAAGCCCTGAATCGAACGCCTTGGATCTCTCCGGATATCCACCAATCAGCCGTGCACCACTCGGCTTTGTCCTCATGCGGCCTTGACCACCACCTGCCGTGCACCACCAGGCCGCGGATCTAATCTGACTTCCGGGCATCGTTAAATTACGTAATTTTACGTTCACCACATCTGAGGATAGGTTTCACATAGGTTAGGTTCTGTTCCAAAATTTATCGTCCTTCGACAAGTGGCCGCGTCCTTCGACCTTGCATTGAAAATCATGATGGTCCATTACATCCACGGCAGTTGTGGTCTTCGGCAGGCGACCCTTACAATTGACACCGCCATCACTGCATGAGCAACGCACACCTCACCACGTACAGACCACATCAACTATACAGACTTTAAAAAGACTCTTTAACAGGCCCCCATCTCGTTTACCTACTCACAGACATAAACGCAAATACAACCACTAGGAAACAGCTCCTACAACCATATAGGAAGACCATTACACACACTAGTAATCCGCGCAAATGTACCCACATCGGCCCCCACTCTCCAATTCTCATCACCCACAGCAGCAAACCATCATCAGGCATAAGCAACATCATCAAGAGCCAAACATGCAAGTCATCAGACCAACCAATACAGCTCAGGTCAAATTGACTGCAAGGATACTAGAAGCGCACACCGCCCGCCTAGCACGATTATAGAATAGAATAGAATAGAAGTGTAGGCACTGAAGAAATAGGCCCATGGCCTGTTGCCGATTCTTGAATTTTTCGTGACTTGATTCACAAGGGATCCGGCCTTTGGAACCCGATATTTTCAAAACTGCCGATTGATTGAGATAGCTGCTGGACTTATTGCCTGGTCCGTAATTGGCTAGGCATTTTAAAACTGAACATATGCTCCTGCATAGCTTCGTCTGGACTTATTGCCTGGTCCGTAATTTGCTAGGCATTTTAAAACTGAACATATGCTCCTGCATAGCTTCGTCTAGTCTGTTCATGAAGGCGTTCATACTCGGAGCGTCAACGATGCTATCAGGGAGGCTGTTCCACATGTCAGTGACTCGAAGCGAGAAGAAATGTTGTCGCATGGATGTGTTACAATGCACTTTTTTTAGTTTATAGCCGGGGCCCCTGGTGTTGGTTCTTGTTTCAAATTCTAGTCATCCTTCTGGGACCTTGTGTAAGCCATGAGTATTTGTATGCTTCAATGAGTTCCCCACGCAGACGTTAAATAACTGAGGCTTGGAAGCTTCATAATCTTTAATCTTTCCTCATAGGACTTGCCATTTCAAGCCCGGAATTATCCTTGTTGCACGTCTTTGAACACTCTATTAAATTTTTGTCCTTTTCTAGTTTCGGTGACCACACGACGTTTCCAAACTCTAGGTTCGGGCGCATGACAGCAACAAACAACTGCTTCATCGCTTCTGCATCTAAGAACTCGAAAGAGCGTCGGATCAGACCTAGTCGTTTATTGGCTTTATTAACTTGACCTTCAATATGCTTAGAAAATTTCAACTCGTTATCGATATTAACTCCTAAATCTTTTTCCATTGTCGACTTCGACATCTTCACTCTGTCGTTGCAACCGTGTCTTCTCATACTGTAATCTTGCTGTTCATTATTCTTGCCAAGGTGGATAACTTTACATATGTCAGCGTTAAAACGCAGCTGCACTACTGGCTCCCTTTCGTCCATCAGGCGGGTCCATTCGTTCAGAGTAGACAAGAGGTTAGTGGTGCAGGATCTCCCGGCAATAAAGCCATGTTGACAGTCTGATAGGAGATTATTAGCAGTCAAATGATCTATCGATCGAATTCTCACAACAGATTCCATTACCTTGCAAACGACACTTGTCAAACTGACAGGGCGATAGTTACCCGGGCAGCTTTTGTCACCTTTTTTGAATAATTGTTTCACTTGAGCTTCTTTCCAGTCAGCCGGCAAGATCCCTTCGTTCAAAGTTTTTCGAAAAAATGACGTCAAAGGGCCGGCTAGGACAGTTGTTAACTCTTTGAGTAATCTGGGGTGGAAGCCGTCTGGTCCACATGACTTTTTGGATTTACAGCGATAAGGCGCTTGAGAACCTCTTCTTGTATTTCAAAACTTATTGATTTAGAGCCGACCGGGCGCTCCTCAATAGCTGGAATATTGTTCAAGTCCTCTTCAGTGAATACGCTACTGAAAAACTGATTAAGAACGTTAGCCTTGCCCTCATCCGAGGATATCTTTCGTTGATCTTTCAAATCAGAAATACCGTCCTTTATCTTGCACTTCGAGCTAGCTTACAAAAAGAAGGCTTTTGAGTTCTTTTTTGCATTTTTAGCAATATTTTTTTGAGGGTTTTTACTGCGGTGCGACAGCTTTCTTTAGCTTGATTTCTAGCTCTTGCGTATAGGTTATAGTCATCATCGCTACGAGTCTGTAAATAACGCTGATATGCTTCCTTCCTTGTTATCAGCTTAGCTAGAACTGTACTGTTCATCCACTGAGTTTTTTTCGGCTCCACCAAGCTTAATTTTAGGTACACACGCATCAACTGCAGACATAACCGTGTCCTTGAGAAGTGACCATGACTCAAACACATTCATGTCCTTAATAGAGTTCGAAATATTCACTGCTTCACGGAGTTTATCATAGTCGCCTTTCGCAAATTGCAAACGCTCACGCTTTCGAGGCGTCTTTTCCGTACAGCACTTTTGACTGAAAAACAATGATTGGAGATGGCTTTTGCCCAATGGAGCCTCGTTACGAAGCTCATCTAACATTGATTCATCACTAGCAAACACCAGGTCTAGAATATTGGGAGTCTGTTTACTTCTATAATGGGTTGGCTTGGTAACGTGCTGGACTAGGAAGGAGTCTTTCACAGACTCCATGAACAAGGATGCTGGGTGATTCTCATCCCTTGGAGAGGATCCATCTGTCCAGTCTAGTTCTGGATGATTAAAATCACCAACGATCAACGTGTGTTACCTACGGAAAGCCATGCTCGGTAAAAGACTGTTTAGTACTCTATCGTTATCAGAGTAACTGGTGATCTATACACGACGCCTATGAGGAGGCTATCTTTGCCTTTGAGAGAAAGTTCGCACCACACTGATTTTCTAGCTGATTGATGCTCTGCAGATAACTTGACTTGCTGGGCCCCATAAGAGGTTCTAACCCACAAATCTACACCTCTACTGCATTGCTCTTCATTTAAGTTATGAAAACGATCAAAACCTGGCAACTGAAATTCAACAGGTACAATTTTCCCCCGTGATTTTTAGGGTGTGTTTCTGTAATACAAATAATGTCTATGCACTCGTTTTCGATCACAGTTAACAGCTCACTTTTTTGTTCAAAACAGAATTCGTGTTCGTGTAAAAACATTTTAAAACTTTTTGTGCACTTTCAATTTGCTGCATGCGTTTACTTCTTACATTATTAACAGGCCTGAATCTATGGACATGACTTCTTACTTGTCTTCCAGCTCCGCTGACTGACCGTGTGCGGCCGGTGTTACCTTGACATCGTAAGAGTGGTTGACCGGAGTCTCCATGCTTTTCCGCCTGAGTTTCTCCTGCCATTTTCTCCTGCGAGTTTCTCCTGAGTCCTGAGTTTCTCCTGCGAAAATTTTTTCTCTCTAAAGGGTAGCATCCTTCTTAACAAAGACTGAATTAAACTCTGTGAATTCACTTAGTTTTCTCGCAGCCTTAAGCACATGTCCGACCTGGGCCTATACTTTTAAAAAAAGTTAAGAGATCGTAAGTTCATCAGCCAATCATTGACGGCCTTTCAAGCAAAATCCA